ACATAGCCGTGGATGGAGCTGATGTGGCTGCATGGGCAGCAAGGTGACCATGTCCCAGACTCTGTATTGTCTTGGCTTCATGAAAGAGAATATCTGCTGGGCTGATGCTGGCACCCAGTGGAGTGTCCCTTTGTATCCTTCTCACTGTCATGAGTTTTCCCTTAGAACACTATTCTGATAAAAGCTAAGTCTAGTTTTAAGGATTATTTAAAGCTTTATTTATTTATTTATTTATTCATTCATTCATTTTTTCATTCATTCATTCATGAGAGACACACACACACCCAGAGAGAGAGAGAGGCAGAGACACAGGCAGAGGGAGAAGTAAGCTCCCTGCAGGGAGCCCAATGCGGGACTTGATCCCAGGACCCCAGGATGACAACCTGGGCCAAAGGCAGACACTCAACCACTGAGCCACTTAGGTGCCCTTTGAAGATATATATTTCACATTTACTCAGAGTCTTTACTATCTGAGGCTATTTAATAGTCTTAGGGAGTAGACAGATTGTTCTTGGTGTCTGAAAAACAGAGTAAGTCCAGAGATTCATTTTAACAGATGGTCTTATTCCTTTCTTCTTCAGCCTTTTGAGCTAACACAGGGCTAGACTCATTTTCCTTCTTCTGGTGACAAATTTCTGCCCAGGTACTGAATTGTTCCAACCATCCAAGGAGCTTGGGACTATGGATATGGATTTCTTTCATTTAACATTTTTTTTTCAATCAACATTTCTTAAGAATACTCACCTCTCCCATTATCAGCTCTACCTACTTTCTACCTTCCCCTGCCCACTCTTTCACATCATGTTCTTCCACTCTCTTAGCACTTCTGGAAGGGAAACTTCCCTTTTCCTATAGGAATAAGCTAACTGACTGAGTTTTAAAACTGATGACCACCTCAACAGCAATATAGGTGCCACCCTGTGACTCTCTTGTCTATGTTATTCATTTTCATGCAGGAAGAAGATCACATATGTTTCCTTCTGGCCCACCCAGCGAGGTCTCTTTCCCTGTTCCAGCTCCTCTGCCTCTCATTGGTTTAGTGAAACAGAGTTGTGTGGCCAGAAATTGAGATTCATGGACAGGAGGTAGTAGGATAGAGGTGATGGTACACTTACACGACTTACTTGCTCCTTCTCTCAAAACAAACTAGACCCTGGGCTGGCATTCCGACTTGTTTCCCTGGAATTCTGACAAAGGTGGAGTGTCAGCTGTGTTACAACATCCCCTCGGTTGGAGGTAACCCTGATTGGTGGGTGCTTTACTGTGAATGCCTGATGGGAGGCAGTAGCTTTGAGCTTCCCTGAGTACAGTGACACTTCTAACTGTGCATGACTTCTGTGGGGAAACTATGTCAAGGCGGATCCTGTACCCAAAATTATGGGTCTCATCTCCTTCTTTCTGAGCTATCGTCTGGGGGCTGAGGGACTATCCCTGAACTAGGATATGGAGTGCAGCAAGCACTCACCTGGACCTGCCTTGTGGAGGCCGTGTGTGGTTCCTGTTCTAAATTCCTCAAAGTGAATCTAGTGACAAGTGTACTCTCTGGTAGTTCTGTGACTCTAAATGTCCAGTTGAGCCTAAAAGTAAACACACTGCGGGTAGACATTCCAGGCTTCACCTTATTGTCCCTACCAGAGAGCCCCTCAAAGGCTGATACTTTATAACCTGCAGTCTGCAGTCCTGGGTATCTTCCCCTCAACTGTCCAGAACACTGCAGAAGAGAAGTGACTAATACCTGAACTTCACCCTTAAAGCCACCATCATCACTACTGATTATTATCACCAATATCAAAATCACCATCAATGCAACCAACCATCACACGAACTTTTTTATGCATTTCAACTATTGTCCATCATCTTCCATTCTCTTCTTTAGATCACATATTACTCTTTTTTTTTTTTTAATTTTGTCTCCCAGAATTTTCTCCCATGGACAACCTCTCCTAGGAAACACTGGACCGAGAGTGCTGCTCTGTTGCCTGAGGCAGCCTAAGACAAATCTTTCAGTATCAGTTTCACCATCTGAAAAATGGGAAGAAAATCATTGCCCCTGAGAAATGCTCAGACACTGAATTAGCTCCAGTTATAATCAATAAAATGATAGAGCAGTCTAAATTCTTTAAGGGTGAGCTAGTCTAAATATAAATATATCTGAGTACTTTTGGACAGCACCAAAAGCACTTATGGTCCCTGTACATTCCCCTCCTGTCCAGTGGCAGTCTCCAGGCCGTCACTGGCTTGTTGAGCAGATTGGATAGATCATGGTGTGGCTTTGCATCCTGGGAAATTATGTTTTCCTAAAAACTTGGAAGGAAAGAAAGCAATTCGGAAACTCTTAATATTTGGTTCACTGTGCTGCTTCCCAGAAATTGGGTGACTGAGTGCCATATATATTTGAAGAGTAAGCAGAGAAAGAATTCAAGAGATAGAAGTGGGTTGGAGGGAGGCAGATGGAGAGGAGCCAAGAAAGAGACAGATAGGATGGGATGGTTCTGTGGAGCCCGACTCCGAGGGAGACTCAATAAGCAGGAAAGACCAAGGCACCAGGAAGGCCCAAGCAGGGGTGCTGGGTGGCTCAGAGCCACAGGGAGCAGGCCTACTTAAGGGCTTTTCCTCCAAGTGGGCCCAGGAGCACTCAAAGTTGCAGGTGGCATCTGCAGATATCCCATAAGTGACACTGAAGACGCCTGTTGTCTGATGCAAGAGGACATTGGAAAGAGCACTGGGCTGCCATCAGGAAACCTTGCTTCTAATCCCAGCTAAGCAATCTTGAGCAGATCACTTACTCCCCTTCTCGGGGCACCAATTCTCTCAACTTTCAGAACAGGAGTTGTAGGTTGATCAACAGGTTGATCACATGGTCTCTTCTATGTTCACCTCCCTCAGTCTTCAAATCTATGGGGCCCTGAATGGTAGGTGGTATTTATGCTCCTCTTTCCCTCCCATGCTCCATCCAGGGGAGGAGGATTATGCTTTCCTGGCCCACCCCCACGTTGATGTTGGGCTCATTGATGACTTGCATTGGCCCACGGGCTGGGGGCAGAAGGGACAGTGTGTCAGTACTGAGCAGAAGCTTCCAGAGGCTCTGCAAGTTTCCCCCAGTCCTCTTGTGCTCCTGTAACTGGCTAGAAGAGTATACCCCAACAGCCCCTGCCCCTTTAGCCTGGGCCCCAGCACAAGGAGATACTCAGAGCAGGCTGGAACCCAACGCACACTCAGAAGCTAAGCCCAGCCAAGCCCCGCTGAGCCACAGCTGTCATGCAGACCCATCAGTTGGAAATAAATGCTTGTTGTTGTGAGGCGCTGCAGTTCTGGAGGTGCCTGTTACCGCAGCCAAAGCTGACTAATACACCACGTGATGGGAAAGCAAGTTTCACAGAAGCACACATCAGAGACCAAGCCAAAGCCTGCCTGAAGGAGAATGAAGGGCAGCTGGAGAGGTTCCTACAGGCCGTCCGCTGCTGCCCCCCTCCATGCCAGAGCCACACACCTCCATATGGAGACACACCTGGGTCCTGGCAGCAACAACCCCGGCCTCAGTGGGGTAGGAAGGAATACTGGTGGAGGGAGAACTAAATTAGAATGCTCAAAGTCAAATTCCTCCCCATTCACAGTTCTCCAAACCTGGGCAGTCTTGTCTAGGTACCACAAAAGGCTGCCTTTAAAAAGGCTCTGAAAAAAAAATAAATAAATAAATAAAAAGGCTCTGGAACTCCGGGTTGATGTGTCGGTGTAGCTACAGGGAGAGGCCGCAAGAGGCTTACACAAGTATCCAAGTGCCAGCATCTCTGCTCTCTGGCTGCTGTGATCAGCATGCAAGTCCCCAGGCCTCTCTGACTCCTAATATTAAAGAATCCCAAGGAAATTCATGTAGCATCCTCCCAGCCAAACTCTAGCTAAGAGATGTTTTCCTGCCAAAAGGAGCAGTGCACATAGTCGATATGACATACAAATGAAAGCCCAAAGAAGACAACTGTGGCGCTTCGGTGTGGTCAGCCTCATGGCCCAGGGGATAACCCGAGAGTTCCAGGTGAGGATGTCTGACCAGTGCTTAGCCAGGCTTCATGTCACTGCGAGAAAACCACGACCTCGGTCCCCCCAGTGACAACTCCAGACTTGAAAACCATAAGCATTGGTTGGGAAAAAAACAAACAAACAAACACAGACACACACACAAAAAAAAACAAAAACAAAAAACAAGAAGACCCGGCCCTTCACCAATCGACCTAACATAAAAGAAGAGGAAAGATCACAGATTTGGGAATGGTGTAAGGGAACAGGCAGGAATTAAAGGGGCGGGTTTCCAATTTTTTTTTCTCTAAGACACCAAAGACTTTAAACCAAAATCTTACCTAGAGCAGAAACATAGGTAAATGGGTAAAAGTACAGAAAGTCAAGGTGAAGCAAGGGCGAGGATTCGGAGCCTGTCTGTGCTGCATCCCATGGCCCGCTCCCAAAATCGGTTCCCAAAGCTGCGTATGGAACTCTAGGACTACACACAGTTGGCAAACCACTAGACTAGGGAGGTCTGGGGCATTGTAATAGGCTCGTGGAAGCCGAAAAGGGTGGGGGTGCGGGGGGGGCAGCTGTTGTCATGGCTGTTTCCGGGCGTTCTGCCGGGAAGACAATGGAGCCAGAGGCGTAGCCACCCCTTGTCATGGCTTGGCAACCATGGAGTACACAGCAGAGGAGCGGGCCTCCACCTCCCGCTCGAGGCAGATGGTCTGACCTTCCTCAAGTCTTCTGGGAGGCAAGCCTCCTCAGCCTCATCCTCAACTGGGCAAGACTAGATTTGCTTGGGAAAGATGGAGGTCTTCCTTCCTTGGCCTGTCTCCTCCCCCACTCCACTCTCCCCTCGTGTCTAAGGCGCTGGCTCCTCTCGAGCCTACAAGTCTCAAGCCTGGTACTCTGACCTTCCAGAAGGAGGGACCCTGTGAGGTTTGTCTAACTCGCCAGCTCGTGGCTCCCCACTTCCCACAGAAACAAGCCCCCAGACCCACCTATGCACACCACATCCATGAATCCATACATCCCATAGCAGATCTGGAAGAGGAGGTCTTGGCGCTGCCATTTTGCTGAGGGGCTGAAGGTTGACCAGATAAGCCAAGAGATACTGGCGATGAGGAAGAGGGAACCCAAGATGGCAGCTGCAATCTGAACCTTCTCAATGACTGTCAGAGAGATGGCCTGCCACTGCAAAGAAGAGAAGGACAGGTTAGCGGTGGCTCGGATGCCCTTACCCCATTTCCATCCCATCCCCATTCCTCTTCCTTCGGCTGCCCCGACCTCTGACCTCTGGCTCGGGATTTAATACAAGGCTTTTTAACTTGCACTACAGTGGCTATCTTCACAAGTTTCCCAGTTTTATTTTGTACTTTTAATGTGGAGGAAACCTGTATCACACCAAATGGTCAGAAACTATTGTAGGGAGAAGGTTCTGGGCAGCCATGGTTGGGAAGGAAGGCCTTTATCATTCATCACGATACAGCCAGAGAAATGAAAAGGGGAAAGTGAAAGTGCAGAGCCAGTGTGGGGCCCAGAATATTCTTTTCGGAGCAACACTGTTTATCTTCACACTAATAGGGCGCAGGCCTTTCTTTTGCTTATTTTCTACAACACCTGGCACGTCACTTAATATAAATGCTAGAGATTATGAATTCAACAGACAAGGAGAGGACACGGGATGTGGGGGAGAGACAAGAAACACAGTATAATTTACTGACTATATACGGACACTGAGATTTCATTTTTTTTTTTTTAACAGAAAAAGCATCATGCTCACAGCAGTATCAATGGATGGATTGAAGGCTGGGGTGTGGGCAGGTTTCAGTTCTGCAATTCTATGATTCTCAGAAGCACAGGCCTAAATGAGCCAGGAGTTAGATTTTTAGTTTGGGATTTATTTATGTTCTCACTCAACAAATATGTCCTCTGCTAGTAAACAAAAAACAGAAGATTTCTGTCCTCACGGAATTTATAATCTACGGAACACAGGTGATCAAATAATTATTTACAACTGCAGTTCATCAGGTGTTAGTGAGGGAGGTACATGGAACTATGAGAGCCTTTGATGGGAGGATTCAACTTGTCAGAAGAAGCAATGCTTGAGCTGAGTAGGAGTTTAGGCAAAGAGAGGAGGGAACAGTGCTCTAGGCATAGGAGAAAGCATGTGCAAAGGTCCTGTGGCAGAAGAAGAGGGTAGGGAGTATAAAAACTTGGGAGAAGACCAGAATGGGTGGAGCAAAGAGAGCACATGGGAGCGTGGGTGAGGCAGCTGGGAAAATAAGAAGAACATGTGCAAACTTGAAGAATTTTGGTTGTGTCATAAGAGTAACCGTGATGCTCTGGAATAGTTTGTAGCAGGGAAGTGACAGGATCTGATCTGGGAAGGTGGAGGGCAGGACATTCTTGTGATTCTAAGGACTCCATGTAAAACCCTGCAGAGGAAAGCCCCGGCAGGTGTTTCAGCCTGAACTCCCCGGGAAAAGCAGACAACTTTCCATCTGCCAACAGCGAGTCCTTATTCTGCACGAAACGGCATGGAGGGGAGCAGTGATTCCGGCTCCCGGAGGACTGGCCAGAGACTCCAAAGGAACTGGCACCGTCTCACTTGCTGGTCCAGATGTGGAACACAAGCTTTTACCTTTCACTGTACACAGAGTGTCCCACTGCAGGCAATTGGCACTGCCTCCCCCAGCACACAAGGGAATTTTCTAGAAGGTGGCCTGGCCCGACAGACTCCCACCCAATGCTGTACCACACGTGCTTTCTCCAGAGCCTGCCCCTCAGTCTGCAAAGAGGGTTCCTGGCTGAGCTTCTTGATTTTTGGTTTTTAAAGATTTTATTTATTTATTCTTGAGAGAGACAGAGACACAGGCAGAGGGAGAAGCAGGCTCCCTGCGGGGAGCCCGACGTGGGACTCGATCCCGGCACCTGAGCCAAAGGCAGAAGCTCCACCGCTGAGCCACCTAGACGCCCCTGCGCTTTTTGTTTTCATCCCTGGGTCATCAGTAACCTTCCCTTTCTCCTGCTCCAGGCTTCAAAACCCCCAAATCTGAAGGCCCAGGAAGGCCCGCGTCCGCAATCCTTAAAGCCACCCTAGTCCCGAGGCCCCCAAGGCAGCTGCAGGACGAGAGCGGGCCGGACTACAGTGTGAAGCATGATGCAGTGAAGCAGGCTGGGCTGCTGTAGGCGACTCCCCTCCTGCCTGTCCCCCCCGAGCCTCCGGGAAAGGTGCGGGGGACAGAGCTGCGGAGAACCAGGGAGCCCTCAAATCTCAAAGGGGGCCAGGAGGAGAAGCGTTCACCTCCAGCCAGGCTTCATTCCACACGAGGTCCTGGCTGCAGCACAGTGAGGACCCCGGCCCGCACCCCATGTCCTGGCCTCCTGCACTGCGGCACCAGCCCTGGGTGTTTCCTCTGATGTCGGGAAGGGCCCCTGAGCCAGGATGGCACCAGCATCCTGACCGGGCGGTGCTGCTCCTGCTGGTGCAGTATCACC